CCCCGAGAGCGCGCGGGGCGGAAGGGGACAGGGGGCGCCACCCCCGAGAGCGCGCGGGGCGGAAGGGGGCAGGGGGCGCCACCCCGAGAGCGCGCGGCCTGGGCCCAGCTTCGGGACTTCGGCTCGTCTCCCCTGCGGTGGCTGAGATTTCACAGCCCTTCGGGTCTCAGCGATCCCGCTTAGGTTCTCCGAGGCCGGGGGCTTTGATTCCAGAGACAGGTGGAGGAGGCGGCGGGACGCCCCGGGCACGGATGGGGGTGACTGTGGGGGGCCCGGGGCGCTGGAGGGAGACCACTGAGGCGGGCGTAAGCAGTCGCGGGCCCGGGAGGAGAGGCGTCCAGGAGGGCCGAGTGGTCAGCAGGGCAGAGTAAGATAAGGACCGGGAGGCCCCACTGGACTTAGAAACAAATAGGTCAGTGACAATCCTGCGGCGAGAGCAGATGGAGAGGCTGGGGGTGGAAGCCGGATTCCAGCGGGGTGAGGCATGGATGCGGCCTGAGGGAGAGGAGGCAGCCGGTGTAGACGCGTCTTTCCAGACACGTGCCAGCGAAGGGATGAGATGGCCCTTGCTTTAAAGCCAGAGACAAGAGAGAAAGGGCAGGAGAACCAGGGGTCAGAAGGGAGAACGGTACTGCTGGGCGCTCCCGGCACCCTTTTGTTCATGGGTCCTCCCCTTCTCAGCATCTGCTGACCCCAGTCTCACTAATGGGGTGAAAAATCCCAGCCCTTAAGTAGTAAGTGGCTGAGGCCAGGCACACAGCGATTCTGGAGAACGAGATTCTCGGAGAAGCTGAGGGTGATGGGTGGGGTGTTACCTTCTGAAAAACGACATCCCTGCCCCTTTGTCCGATGTAGTTCATCCCTTGTCTGTCCTTTCTGCAGATGTTTAGGGAACACCTACTCTGTTAGGTCCTGGGGAAATGAGGATGAACCATACACATCTTTGCTCTCCTCAGCACACCTTCTGAGGGTGGGGGGCACTCAGTGAGGCAGGAGACGTGCCCTACATTGGATGCAGTTACCAGCTGTGGAGAAATATTAAGCAAGAAAGGGGAGGAGAGTTGGGAGGTGGTTGTAGTTCAAATACTGTGATCGGGGCAGGCCCCCCTGAGAAGGTGATCTCTGAGTGAGGACGTGAAGGAGGCGAGGGATAAGCCACGTGAAAACGCCGATGTTGTTGTGAGGTGCGGTCCAGTCGACTCTGATCCATAGTGACCGTGTGTACAACAGAACGAAACACTGCCGGGTCCTGCCCCATCCTCACAATCGTTGCTATGTTTGAGCCCATTGTTGCAGCCACTGTGTCAATCCATCTCGTCAAGGGTCTTCCTCTCTTTCTCTGACCCTCTACAGGGAAGAGCACTATAGGCACAAGGAAAGGAATAGCAAGTGCAGAGTCCCTGAGGCAGGAGAAAGAGCAAGACAGTGAGGCTGGAGGGAGAAGACAAGGGGGAGAGTTTGAGGAGGAGAAGTCAGAGGATAGGGTGTGTGTGTGAGGGGGTGACAGATCATGCAGGACTGGATAGGCCCTTGTGTGTCTGGACATGCCACCTGCCAGTGTACCCCCGTCTTCCTAGTAGCCTGAGAATGAAGCCAGTTCCCAGAGTGGCAGAGCAGAGAAAAGGGAGAACCCTGGGTTCCTGATGACATTGATGAGTCCTTGAATCAACTGACCCTGCATCTCATTTCTTATAAGTCCGTTGAAGCTGAGGTTTCTGTTTCTTGCCCTCAGAGACAGCCTAACTAACATAGATAATATCTCCCCAGAACCCAGCCATCTCCCCCTGTAAGGGGATGTAGTAATAAGGCTCTCCCCAGGTTATATGAAGATTGAATTTTCCTTATTCTACTTCAGTGTTTTGTCCCCAGTGGGTCTGTTAGGCTACTTTTAGCTGCAAGTAATAGGCAACCCAATGACCTGTGTGGACTGAATGAGTGGTCACTAGTACGGGGTCCTGGAGATGGTTTGGTGACTCTGATTTTCCGAAGAGTCCAGGCTCTCTCCATCCTTTTGCACAGCTATCCTTAGCTGGTTGGCCTTTTTTCCATTGACTTGTTGCTTCATGGTTATATAATGGCTGCCACAGCTCCAGATATCACGTTTTCACATGCCGCCGTCAAAGGAAGAAAGCAAAGGGTGAGTTTCCAGGGTGGCAAGAGAGCGCCACATAATGCACTTTTTTTTCTTCTTGTTGTTTGTTTGTTTTCATCAGGGGAGAATAATCTTTCCAAGAATATTTTCTCTCCCGATCCTGTCCTCCCTGCATACCTTCCTTTATCTTATATTGTCCAGAAGTGGGTCACATTGACAATTCCTACCTTCAAAGGAGGCTGGAAAAGTATCTGCCCTTTTTTCAGCTTTGTGGTGGTTAAGGTTGTGTGACAACTTGGCTGGGCCATGATTCTCAGTGGTTTGGCAATTATGATGTAGTTTGGCAGTTGTATGATGATGTGATCACTTCAATGATGAGATTTGATATAATGTGATCACCTCCATGATGGGAGCCACTATGAGCAGCCAGTCAGTGAAAGGGAGTTTCCTTGGAGGAGTGGCCTGCATCCAACATAGGTGGACTTTCTGACAAGGCTCTCAGGCTTTCGCTTACTTTGGATCCTGCAGCTGGCTCCTGTTCATCTGACCTTTGGTTCTTGGGACTTGAGCCAGCAGCTTACCTGCCGATCTTGGGATGCGTCAGCCTCCGCAGTCTGTGAGCCTGCGGCCTGCTGTCTGACCTGCTGGCCTTTGGTTCGCCAGCCCCTGCAGCACGTGTGTCAGGAGAAGCTCCAGCCTGACCCACGGACTTAGGAGTTTCCAGCCTTTACAACCACCTGAGCCATTTCCTTGATATAAATCTCTCCTTATATATAGATGCTTTACTGATTTTGCTTCTCCAGAGAACCTAGCCTAAGACAAGCCTCTATAGTGCTGACTTGGTTTATAAGTTAGAATTAAATTTGGCTGCATAGAAAAAAATATGACATTGGTTTAAGACGGAAACTTACTTCTCACATAAAAGGGGGGTGGTGACGGCGTCACAGGCAATCACAGTTGGTGTTGGTAGTTTCATGCAGTTGTAGGCTCGGGATTTTCCACGCCTGTGCTCCCACCCCTGAGGGTGTATTCCTTGTCCTCAGAGTCCAAGATGAGCTCCAGCCATCAGCAAAGGAAAGGAAGGGAGGTGGGGGAAGAGCACACCCTCCTTTTGTGGGCTGTCTGTATTTCACTGGCAAGAACATATCTGGTTCTTAGCTGCAAAGAAGGCTGGGAAATGTATTCTTTGTTCAGGATGGCCATGGCCATGTTCCATAATAAAAATCAGGATTCTGGTACTAAGGACAAAGAGTGTGTCTTACGTCAGAGGTGCTACAAGCAGACCCTGAGATGAAGATTGTGTGCAAGTGATTTATGAAGGAAGTGCTTCGTGGAAAGTTGCAAAGAAGAGGGAAGACAGATAGAAGAGACCAGAGAACAAGTGCTGCTGTGTGAGTTCAGGGAATTAGCCCAAGGTTAGTTCTGTGAACAGCAATAGTAATAACAATAGCTGCTGTTGTTAGGCACTGTCAAGTCGGTTCTGACTCGTAGTGACCCTGTGCACAACAGAACGAAACACTGCCTGGCCCTGCGCCATCCTCACAATCGTTGTTATGCTTGAGCACGTTGTTGCAGCTACTGTGTCAATCCATCTTGTTGAGGGTCTTCCTCTTTTTTGCTGACCCTCTACTTTACCAAGCATGATGTCCTTCTCCAGGGACTGGTCCCTCTGGGTAACATGTCCAAAGTATGTGAGACAAAGTCTCGCCATCCTCGCTTTTAAGGGGCATTCTGGTTGTACTTCCTCCAAGACACATTTGTTCCTTCTTTTGGCAGTCCATGGTGTATTCAATATTCTTCGCCAACACCACAATTCAAATGTGGGAAATAATCAGCCTGGGAATGATCTGGACGCGGACACTCCCGAGCTGATTTCAAGGTCTCCAGGATTCGGACCGCACGTCCTGCACGCAGACGTGCCGTTCCCACCTGCAAACGGGAGGGAGCACCGAGTCTCTGAGAACTTGCTGATCTGTGAGCCTTAAAAGATAAGTTCGGGTATTTACAAAAGTCTTGATGTGCTTTGAAGGAGCAAAACAACTTACCAGATATTTGGAATAATGCCCAGGCGGAGACCTTAAAAATAAACTACTGCAAGTCCTCAGGGCTGCAGTCCTGTTTGTCTTTGTGTGTGTCTGTCTTTTTTGTTCATTTCGCCGCCCAAAAACTGCAACATTCAAAGGTGTCGTTTCTTCTTCGGTCTTACTTATTCATTGTCCAGATTTCACGTGCACGTGAGGTGATTGAAAACACCATGGCTTGGATCAGGCGCACCTTAGTCCTTAAGGTGACATCTTTGCTTTTCAACACTTAAGGAGGTCTTTTGCAGCGGATTTGCCCAATGCAATGCATCCTTTGATTTCTTAACTGCTGCTTCCGTGGGTGTTGATTGTGGATCCAAGTAAAATGAAATCCTTGACAGCTTTAATCTTTTCTCCATTTATCATGTTGTTGCTTATTGGTTCAGTTGTGAGGATTTTTGTTTTCTTTATATTGAGGTGTAATCCATACTGAAGGCTGTGGTCTTTGATCTTCATCAGTAAGTGCTTCAAGTCCTCTTCACTTTCAGCAAGCAAGGTTGTGTCATCTGCATAATGCAGGTTGTTAATGAGTCTTCTTCCAATCCTGACACCCCATTCTTCTTCATATAGTCCAGTTTCTTGAATTATTTGCTCAGCATACAGACTGAAAAAGTATGGTGAAAGGATACAACCCTGACACACACCTTTCCTGACTTTAAACCATGTAGTATCCCCTTGTTCTATTCAAAGGACTGCCTCTTGATCTATGCACAGGTTCCTCATAAGCACAATTAAGTGTTCTGGAATTCCCATTCTTCACAAAGTTATCCATAATATGTTATGATCCACACAGTCGAATGCCTTCACATAGTCAATAAAACACAGGTAAACATCTTTCTGGTATTCTCTGCTTTCAGCCAGGATCCATCTGACATCAGCAGTGATATCCCTGATTCCACGTCCTCTTCTGAATCTGGCTTGAATGTCTGACAGTTCCCTGTTGATGTACTGCTGCAGCCGCTTTTGAATGATCTTCAGCAAAACTTTACTTGTGTGTGATATTAATGATATTGTTCAATAATTTCCACATTCTGTTGAATCACCTTTCTTTGGACGACGCGCAAATACCTATCTCTTCCAGTCAATTGGCCAGGTAGCTGTCTTCGAGATTTCTGGGCATAGACGAGTGAATCGTTCCAGTGCTGCATCTGTTAGTTGAAACATCTCAGTTGATATTCCGTCAATTCCTGGAGCCTTGTTTTTTGCCCGTGCTTTCAGTGCAGCTTGGACTTCTTCCTTCCGTACCGTTGGTTCTTGATCATATGCTGCCTCCTGAAATGGCTGAAGGTCGACTAACTCTTTTTGGTGCAGTGACTCTGTGTCCCCCATCTTCTTTTGATGCTTCCTGTGTCATTTAGTATCTTCCCGGTAGAATCCTTCCGTATTAAAACTTGAGGCTGGAATTTTTTTTTCAGTTCTTTCAGTTTGAGAAATGCCGAGCGTGTTCTTCCTTTTGGTTTTCTAACTCCAGGTATTTGCACATGTCATTATAACAGTAATTACGGCTTTTTAAATGCACATTTAAAAAATTTTAATGATAGCATTCATTTTAGAAATAGAAATGTTCTGGAACACAGGAGGATATTTCCTTCCCTGAGAACTGTCTGTTCAAGTCCTTTTGTTCATTTTTCTGTGGGATTGTTGGATTTCTAATTGATTTATAGAAGCTCTTTAAATACTAAGGAAATCAGTTCTTGGTCTGTCGTGTGTCTTACTAATATTTTTTTTTTCTCAGTCCGTGTTATGGATTGAATTATGTCCCCCAAAAAGATACATTGGAGTCCTAAGCCCCATTCCTGTCAGTGGGACCTTATTTGGAAATAGGGTCTTTGTAGATGTAAATAGTCAACATGAGGTTTATACGGGAGCAGGGTAGGCCCCAACCAGTACGACTGGTGTCTTTATAAACAGAGGAGAAGAGACAGACAGACACACAGGGAAGAATGCTGTGTGATGACAGAGGCAGAGATTGGAGCGATACATCTACCAGCCAAGGAACGCCTGGGGCTACCTGATGGCTGGAAGAGACGAGGAAGGATGTTCCCCTAGAGCCTTTAGAGAGAACATGGCCCCTGTGACACCCTGAGTTTGGGCTTCTCTCCTCCAAAACTGTGAGACAATAACTTTGTTGCCTTAAGCCACCCAGTTGGTGGTGCTTTGTTACAGCAGCTGAAGAAACTGGTACAGTTCATAGATGATGTTTGTGATGCATGCAGATTTTTCCTCCTTGCCAAATGCCATGTGCATGGGCGATGTTGTTAACTGCACGGCACATTCTCCCAAGGGCCTGTTGTCTCGGGTCACGTGCACCACCTCCCACGTGGGTCTCTCTTCCACCGGGTTGTTTGAACAGGAAAGAAGGAAGTCTTAGCGAGCAGGTTCTGGCTTTCAGCCTCCATGCAGAAGTCGGTGTTCCCCCATAAGAGGGTCCAAATATGTCATGTTTCCTAGTTCCTTAGTCATTGCCAGGATTATCCTGAGCATTTTTATATAGAAAACTTGGTTTGTGTGCAAGAAACATAATGGCACGTAAAGCTCTAGTGACTTTTAATAATATGAAAAGATATTCAGTATAGATGGTGAGAGAGTAAACTCATACAACTTTTCGGCAGATAATTTGCAATATCTATCAAAATCAGAAATGCGCGTACCCTTTGACCCAGAAATTCCCCTTCTAGAATTTACGGTAAAGATAAATTCACATACTTAGGTATGTGTAAGCATGCTTATCTCCATATGTGGATTGTAAACTCCTCAAGGAAAAGGATGTCCAATGTCTCATCCTCTGCTCCAGGTCCCCTAGAACAGTGCCTGGAACGCAGTAGGCGCCAACACGTATTTATTGAAAGAATGAAGACTAAAAGGCAGGAAAACAATCTAAATTCCATGGTT